CATCTAATTTATAATCTATGAATAGATAAATAAGTTTTTTTTGGAAAAAAAATTTAAACCTTTACTGTTAATTTTTTTTACCTTGAATGAAGAAATCAATCTAGATGATTACTATTATTATTATTATCAAAGGTAAAACATCTTGTATAATCAGAAAACACACACGTACACAGTCATAGTTACAGTAATCACATGGTTTAAAACAAACGAAAGAGATAATATTACGTCATTAGGTGAGAGATAATGATAGTTCAGAAACAAAACAAAAAAAACTTATGTCATTTACAGTCTAATTTGTATATACCATTATTGGAAAAGATTTAAATAATCCCATCGTTGATATATAGGGCTGAATTTTGATCAGTCTTTGTTGGCGTATATGCATCTTATGTAGATCGTCTTGATATGCCAATGTTTAACAAGTTTCTATCAGAATAGATTGATTTATAGCCAGCAGTTGAGTTCAAAATGTGATTCGTCCTATCTGGGACTCGTCACTTGAATGTGCCTGAGACTGTACTAATGTTCACACTGAAATTCAAAACTATTGTCTGTTGTTTCATACACCCAATGTGTCATTGACTGAATTATCTGGATTCAGTACTTCTGTGGATAACACATCTTTTATTTGAAGCGAAAGATAGTGGGTTAAAGTCATAGTGTGAACATCAATATTGAAATTTAGCTGGTACACCTAGTTAACTCGTCCGAAATAAGATGAGAAACGTGTTCTGGATTCCACAACTCGTCATAAATCCATCTATTCTATAAAGAAATCACATTTACAGTTATTTACGTAATTGATGAGGTTGACAAAAAAATTCATCGAAAATAATTTCATGTGTTGAATAAAAACACCATGGTAACTGGAGGATAATAATTAGAAGATAAAATGAAAATAACACCTCTAAGAGAGATATGAAAGGGAAAATAAAGAAGAGACGAATTCATATCAAAACAACTTGTAAATTTAGATGGGCGGTTAATACCATAGTGAAATAAGGGACTAAACATGTCAACAATCAACACAGAGATCGGGCTTAATTGGTAAACTATCGAAGCTCCAATTATAATACAAACTTATGACGCTAGTTGTCTTTAGAGACGTACTGGAAGAAGAGGAACAAGCCCAACGTAAGGTGAAACTTTAAAATGATGAATAAGACTATTTTGTAATAAGTTTTCCCTTTTGTACTCGAATCGTGTGTTTTGATTTTTGGAAATATATATGTTGTATTTGTACGTCATGTTCTTGCTCCTGAGGCATTCACTGGACCTAAATGTCGTGTTGTTGTTTCAGATCTCTCCCGCTTCCAAATAAACGCTAATAATACGTGCTACAATATATGCACTTTTTTTAGAAAAAATATAGTAAAACTACTCATTTGAATCAAATGCATAATACAGAATTGTACTTTCCTGTTCGTATTCTAATTAATTATTAATTTTATTCAAAAATAACCAAAAAGTGAAATAATGAGAGAGAGTGTGTGTGTGTGCGTAGGAAGCATGGAAACGAGAATAATTAAATGTAAACCAAAAAAACTTTTAATGAAGTTCGTTACTCAATCGATGGTGTTTATTCATTTCTCCTTATAATCAAACATGGACATTTTGACGTTCCTTTTTTCTTCCTTCACCTTAGTGGATTAAAAAATAAACATTCATTTATAAATTAATAAATATGATTATTTAACTTGAGAAAAGTACAAGAGAAAAAAGTATACTGAACGACGATTTAATTAGGGAATGGAGGGGAACTAAAGAAGAACAAACAATAAAAAGGGTGAATGGTGAAGAAATTTCATTTTCCCTCCAATATAATTCAGATCATCAATCATTTCAAAGTGTTTTTTATCCTATTGATATTATTACTATTACCATTATTATCATTATTATTGCTACTATTACCGTTACAATTACTAATATTGATTTCTACATCTGATCAATGCAAGTAGACAAATATAATTGGGTAAATAAATTAATATATTTGTAATATCCCAGTGAGCATAAAAATTCGATTTTCTGACATTTGGTAACTGAGTGTAAGCCACTTCTTCAGAGAACATGTATTTATTCAATATATATATATATATATATATATATATATATATATATATATATATATAATTATTTTGATGGTAAGAGATATTCAAACTGTCCGCTATACCGAACCAAATAGTTCATGAACATCTTAAACAGTAGAAAGTTTATAGTTTATGGATTCAATCCATAAGTCGGTAAGTCATCAAATATAATCAAATGTAATCAGACTCCATCTTGATGTATTTGTATTCAAACATATCATTTACTTTCATGCATTAAATATACCCAATCATGGACTACTTCAAAGTGTAATGCTTGCTGGTGTAGGAGTGGGTTAGATGAAAGATAAAAATGACCAAACTGAAACATTGGATCACTCTATGAAAATACTGATTGTTGGTCTGAGTCGTATAAGGAGGTCCTGGCTACCTTGTTAAATTCCTAAAAAAATATCGTAATCAATGGTTGGATAGGTTGGATGATATGGTTTGAAATCCACCAAACAAGATAGATACATTCACATTTTTATCTTCTCTTAGATCTCATTCTGCAATGTTCTCGTATAGTTTTTATTGCACGAGTTTAGTTTATCTTCTCAAATCTTATTATACATGGCTACTGTTTTTTACTACCTTTGATATTGTTAGTGCTTCTCCTACTTTAACATTAGTCTTGATAATTTCATCTTGCTTTTATGTTATGGTGCTGTAGCATGAACTGATCCAGAGATATACCAGATTCTACGTTGCGTGTAACTGACTGACTGATTAAAAAAAAACAATTTAAACGATGGAGCACTGGATAGGTGTTACTTTTTACATGGGACTTCTCTATAGTTTTAACTATTTACCATTTTATTTAACTCAAAAGTAACTTTTCGATGATAAATATAAGTTATTTTTTCTATTGAGATCATGAACCGATTGATGTTAGACCACCGTTGGAAACCTGGAAGCACTGGACAACCGTTTCGTCATATTGTGGGACTCCTCAGCAGTGCGCATCCACGATCCGACTCGCAGGATTCGAACCAGTAGGTTAAGCGTTCGCGCATGAGACTGAAGGCCCTGGGTTCGAATTCCGAGAGAGGGATCGTGGATGCGCACTGCTGAGGAGTCCCACGACAGGAAGAAACGGTTGTCCAGTGCTTCCAGGTCTCCAACAGTGGTCTAACATCAATCGGTTCATGATCTCAATCAAAAACTTAATAATCTCCACAACCCCTATACTGATAAATACAAATTATTTAAATGAAATTGAAAGCAAAATAATATTTTTATTATAAACTAAGAAAGCTATGATAATGAACAGAATATCATTCTATGATTCATCGTAATCGACAGGATTTAGCTAACTCAAGCTATATGTTTGTTGGAAGTCATCAACAAAGTGATTGAAAATTAAAAGGAAGCTTATGTTTGTTCAGAAATCACAATTGTCTAACCTAGTAGCATAAACAAATATACCATCATTGACCTGTCAGGGTGGTATTATTTTCTGGAAACAAATATCGTCAATTCTTCTTGTCATTTATGAGCTGATTTTTTAAATGTATGGCATAGTAACTGTTTCATCTGGACAGGGTCCAGTGAGTATTCATCATAGACCTCAGTCAATAAACCATTTCAGATTCTAAAATGATATTTGAACTTCTTATCTATAAATAATTTCGGGTTCTTTACTTATATGTAAATTGTAATTGTTGTTATTTAAAAATATAGCAGAAATATTCGGAAGGTAGATTAGATTTCATAGTGACACACTTTTAACTAATGTTCTATACTCCTACTGTAATTCGAATGTAAACACCATTATCCGAGTAGCTTGATCTTCTTGTGGGATCCTATTTTACGAATGATTTCGTAAATTACATCAAATATTAAGAGCGGAAACTTTCCTGAAGCCCTAGGCATTATAATTTAAATGGTAAACATATTAACAAGTTTTATTTGCATCGCTACATTATCACTGTTGTTGTTCAGGCACAATTGTTCATTAGAGGGGTATCTTAATAATGGCTCGCGTGTTTATGAACAACAAAGGTAACAAATAGATTCATAATATTCATTTCATGGAAGGATATTTAGTCAAGTCTATGAAAAACACTGTGTTAGTGAAAAAAAAAGTATTATCCTGTTACTCAATTCACTTCTTTTTTCAATGTTCAATTTATGTAAATTTTGAGTAGAAAAAAGATATGCTGAAGATCAATAAAATGTACACAGATTTCATTCTGAATATACAATCCTTATCAGTTGTAACCATAAAAAAAATTTTTTTCCTCTTACAGTCTGAACTCCTTGATAATCTTTAAAAAGAAGTATGAAGTAACCTTGGTTACTACTTTAATTCAATACTTCAATTCTTGACTTGATCTAAGTTGAACAATTTCAAAAGAAAATCAATTAAAACAACATGGAAAATTTATACTGAAATATGAAATGTTACCATATAGTATTAAGTTGTAGTAAATAACTTTGTTCTCTATAATTGATGACCATGACGATAATAACAATAATAATAATAATAAATAGTAATAAAGATATCCAGTCAGATTTGTGTCATTACTGTGGCATTATAGTTATCACATATGAATTCTAAAATGACCTTGACGGAAAAACCTTCAGATCACCATATTTCAAACACAGCGTCATTCTATGATTGATTTGGAATTGTCAATCATAACAATTAAATCAATTATTTACGTAATTAACTTGGGGTTATAAGGTTATTATTATTATTATTATTATTATTATTATTATTATTATTATTATTATTATTATTATTATTATTATTATTATTATTATTATTATTACGAAATTATATGATTTCATGTCTGTATGATTACCTCATAAGGATAGTTGTGATTACACGTCAAGTTTTAAGGTCAAATATTAACCAATCAATGATGAGTTAGTCAATATATAGTTGAGCGTTAGAAAGACATATCACTTGCGCCTGTATATTTTTTCAATGATTCAATAGAATATTATACAAAAATAATGCCCAATTTAACACGTGTACTATTTAGATCATATTAGCATCCTATGCACATTCTTTGATTTATTTCATTTATTCATTACAATCTGCCTTAATACCATTATGGATTATGTTTGATGTTATTCAGCTATTGTATTGAATCTATAGCCATAACAACTGGATGCAATCATTTCTAATTCTTCTTCTTTTTTTTTAAAAAAAAAAATTATACATATGCCAATTTGAATAAGAAGACGGACTATTATTACAGAAATGGATTGTTTTTCATCTGCATCTGTAAGTTGATTTTCTTCTTAAATATATTTGTGACATGTTATCATTTTGTTTCAAGGCCTTATTATAAATATTCGTTTTTCATTCACTTGGTATTGTTTGGCTTTTATCTTCCCATTGAGGTTTAAGACTGTAATTAATCAGTCTGTTATTAGCATATGTGCATACTATGCGTATGCCTCGATATAACCTTAATTCACAAGCTATTTGTAAGCAATGATGGATAATGGCTAGCAGTGGAATCGAGGACGTCCGTTTCGTCCCCATTGCACAAGCAAGTGGCTATCAGGACTTAGTAGCTGAGTGGATAACGCGATGGTGTTTGAAGCGGATGGTACTGGGTTCGAGTCTCAGGGTGAACATCAATTCTGAGATGCAGGTACATCCAGCTGACAAGTCCCAAATAGGATGAAACGCGCGTCCTGAATTCCACTGCTAACCACTATCCATTATTCGTTTTTCAGTTTGTATTCTTAATATGAACATTTGGTGAAATTATATAATTTATGGACGACGACCTTTGAGCGACACTAAAGTGACCTTGAGAGTGTTCACCTAGTAACTAGAACTAAATGAGGGTTATAAAACTGTGTGAGGAATTATAATTGTGATTTACAGTTGATGGGTAATATTAGGAATTAGATTGAGGGTTTTCATCACGAGCTGACATCAACTATAATGCCGAAACTGTATTTAGCTAAATGGATGGGTGAATTTCGCGCCAAAGTTTGAGACCTGTTACATCTGGTTGGTTCGTTCATAAATTATAGTCTTGCCGATCTCCTTTCTTAGCTGCTGACATTTATTTGATACTTTAAGTTAACTAAAATGATTTCTATGATATATTTACATTAATATAATCTCCTATATCAAAAGGAAAATATTTTCTAAGCTATTACGTCGTCCGAGGTTAGACATATCTTACTATTCTCATATGAAGTTATTTAAACTGTCTAGTTTTTACTACTGATCTTCTCTAGTTTTAAAACTAGCGGACTGGGAAAATCTCTGAAAATATACATTCTAAGCATTTAAACATTTTCACCAATGAACTAATAGTGATGTTCCAATTTATTTCTATGAATTTGTTTATCTAATGTATTTTAGTAGAATTTTTGGATTGATTCATGACACAGATAAAGGTGAGGTTATCTGCAACCTTTTCACTGTTGACTATGTTATACTCAGAATTTCCATTCATTTAGTCGATATATGTTGAATATTAGACTGTAATTTGCATAAAAGCTTTCATTTGTACTTTCGTGTGTTAGTCTTTATCAGTTTTAATGGTGCTTGCAAAATAAGATCGTCTAGTTAAAAGTATGCGATTGTATATACTTTGTGCCAATTTATAAAACAATGGACTGAGAGACTATAGTTCATGGACGAACAAGTCAGATGTATAATAGAACGTCTTGGATTTTCACTCAAAATTCATTCACCTTAATTACTAACCCTACCCTTAATCCTAGCTCCTAACACTACTTCCTATTGATTGTTTAAGATTTCACAAGGTCATCTTTGGGATCGTTGAAGGTTGCTCATAAGTTACAATCTCTTTCGTTTAGATCTATGGTATATATTACTTTAAATAATCGATTCACAGCTATATGGTTTCATAACATTTACATATTAATTGTTTCAAGTGTGCACAGCCAAGATCAGTTCATCTTATTTAAAGAAATATTATGGACAGTAGATAAGCAGGATTACTTCTATGTTTCAATAAAATACATATGTTCATTTCTTAAAATGCTACTTAAAAGTGAAATTTTTCAACTCAAAATTTGTATATAATGTAGTATTTTAAGTATTTAGAGAGAATCTACACTTGGTTGTCAAATGCACTCATTAGCATTCTTACGAAATTTTTTACTTTCACCCCAGTAATTCGAGTTTACTTTCCACCTAGTGTCAGTGGATGCGCACTGCTGAGGAGTCCCATACTAGGATGAGACGACCGTCCAGTGCTTCCAGGTTTTCTATAGTGGTCTAACATTGATACATTCATATTCTCTATCAAATCTGTTTTAGTTAAATAGCTGTACAAAGAGACTAGCCTTCCGTAAAGCTGAAATCGAGTATGGTGAAAAGTGGGAAAGATATATGACTAAGATTTGTTTTTAACTTTTCTGTCTTCATGGGTCCAAAATAAAGTGAAACGTGCAACCGAGATTCCAGCACTAGCCACGACTCAAAAATATACTGTCTACGGGTAATACTTGTGAGTTCACTTAAGAAGCACACGTACTAACAGGGGCTGATTAAATGCAGTCCTGAAAATTAATAACCCTTACTAATACTTCATGGTTTTCAGTTGAATCTATGCCTTTATTTGTTGACTAGTTACGTTGTCGGTTTTTATAAGCGAATAAATAAATCTCCAGTAATTCATTGCTGGTGATGTTTGTTGGTGTAAAAGTAAGTCAGGAAAAACCTAGGAGGGTTAAACCAAGATAGCATAGTTTATAAATTCATTGACTGTTGAACTAAGCCATGTGGTTGGGTGCAGCCTACCTAGTTGTGGTCCATGTGGTTATCTTAACAAATTGTTAGGGGCTTTGGGTGAAATGACCATAAATCTTTCGCAGTGGCGCAGGTGCATTCACTCTTTATCTTTCCTTAGATTATAGGTGTCGAAACCACCTTGTAAATTTTGTAGTTCCACCAATTCATATTTTCCCAGATGATATCTTCGATACCTAGTCCTTTTTATTATCACTATTGCTGTTATTACCTCTACTACTCTAGGTTTTTCCTTAATAGTTTTATTTTGCTGTGCCGATGGGATGTGGGAACTTGGACTGGTTCCAGGTTTTACGTTGCGTATGATTAATTCTGTATTTTTCAATAATATTCCCAATGCCTAGTCTTCCTCATTATTTGTAGTACTGCAGTCAATTTGTTTCCTTTGTTTGTTAATTTTATCTAGTCATGTTAATATGGTATGGCTAGACTGAACGTTGATAATAGCTAACGGAAATTAGCTTTTTAATAATCCTATTCTTCTGTCCTTCGGTTTCAATTTTCCCTTCTTAACTTTGCCTCTCAAGTTTAGAGTTCCATTTTTTAGCCGCCTTTATCTCCCATCCTATGCTTTTCGTCTTACTGATTTTCTCTTTCTATACTGACTTTCATTATGAAGACTTGAACTGGTGCATAATCGTGGAGAGTTTTACTTTAACTAAAACAGATCTAGGTGATAAATTGTTATTGTAATTAAGATATACTGGACAGATTTTTAACTGACAACATTCAACGTTCAATGGATGAATCATTCTTTCCTAGAAAATTTAGTTCAACTTTATCACTATAAGCAAGTTTTTATGAATTATTGATTTTAAAGCTTGGACTTTCTCCTCATTGATTTTTCAAGACTACCGAGCTTATCAACTTTTATTGTCGTATTTTTGTTTGTATTTTACACACATAAAGGAAGCTAAAGGTTTTTTTAGTGATCAGAGCTTACGTAAACTTTAAAATGGATTTCTGATAATCTTGTAAAGGGGTTCGATAGTTATTTTAAGGTCAACCTTACGAATTGTTTCAGTTATGTCTTCCAATCAAGTAGCATAGTTATCTAATCTGTGCGTTTATCTGATTTTGTGATGCTAACTGCCACTGAAGCTATTTCGGCACATACATTCTAATTTAATTTAATGAAGACTGATAACGGTGGAGATTTGTTGCTTAGGTCTATGATTTTGATGGAAGCTATGATGACAACTGATACCAATAGGGCACTATTTGACTATTATTGGTAAGTGTTCTAATGGGCAAAGCTTTCATCTGAAGCTATGGATTCTAGGCTGGAGTTCCAGTGGGAGTTATGCGTATATCAGTTCAGTCTCAATTATGAGATGCATAATTTCCGTAAATGGTGCCGTCTTATTTAAACTGAGTTAGAAATGCTTAGAAAGGTATCTTCGTAAATCATCCATCATAGAATAATCAATTGTAATGTTTATAATTCTGATTGTTAACGGAAAATAATCGATCAAGTTACTTTTTTTAACCATTAATCTGATTGTCTCATGATTCGCTACATATTATAGTAAACGACCTGAATAGATTAGCTGTAACCTTACAAACTACATTACTTTATAACTAAATTCTAAAGCTTAAAATATGTCATTTAAATGTAATTTATAAGAGGGTTACGATTCATGTTTCTTCAAAAAATTATGAACTGTGAGTTCGATAAAAGTCCTATTTATTAAGGAGACCATAGTCCCCTGAAGTTGGAAGATCATAGAATGTTGATTAAGTTGTTGAAAAGTATTAAGCTTACAAAGACGCTTGACAAACCCGGGTTTATTCCGACACGATGTTTTAGATGCCCACCACTGGGTACTCAAACAAAAAAGAAATATTTGTCCAATGATCCCTGCTTTCTTAAAGTTGCCGTGCTAGTGGGGTATATCAGCTTGAACCAATGTACACGTGTCGGGTTCTATAGTGCGTTAGATTACGTTCTTCGTTTTAAATATTTTCTAAAAAAATTAATTTCCAAAAGAACTCAGATTTTGTTTTAGCTGCTTAATTATAATCATTTCATGAATAATAATGGTGTGTATTACGAAAGCATTAAATACAGTACTTTTTACTGTCTGAATAATCCTTTTAGGTAAAATATTGATTTTTTGTACTTATCAACTGAACTGTTAATTACTGTCAATAATCATCTTGCATGAACTCAACATTATTGATCGTGTGTTATCTTTTATATTGAGATATTTATACCTAGAAGGAAAGTTGACTGATTACCACTGTCATTATTTGGCATAAAGGTAATTCTGTTAAGACTACGCTGTAATATAATCTGTCATAGTAATAATAATAATAACCTTAAGTTTTAGCGGAGGTGAACAATATGTGTAGCTGATTTACTCAGTTACAGTTAGTCGTTGCTTTTTCTTAAACATCATTAATTTAAACCGTTTTTTTCTTACATTAATTATTGATTACATAATCATTCTTGTTCAACTTTGTCATTGACGTAC